CTCTCTCTCTCTCTCTCTCTCTCTCTCTCTCTCTCTCTCTCTCTCTCTCTCTCTCTAGTGAGGGGGGCATGTCGCAGCTACGTGTTCTCATAAATGTATGTGGTGTCTCATGCAATAGATGGAACCCGCGATTGCATCGACTGTCAACAGTGGAGAGACATGCGCCATGGAGACGGAGGACATTCTGAAGGGTTTTGCAGATGGCAGCAAGGAAGGGAATTCGGCAGGAGAGAACAGCGCAGACTATGCAGAGGTGCTTGCAACAATATGTGCACAGACCGCAGAGATGATGGGTGATGGTGATGAAACAGAGAATGATGCAGGAGGGAGCACTTGTGAGACGGAAACGGTTGGGAAAGAGAGAGAGGAGGGAGGTATGGGAAGCAAGGAGTCTCTGACAAGGTGTATTGTGAAAGATGAAAATGTGGTAAAGATATCAGCAGGAGAAGAGTACCCATATGACATCAATTGGGTGTCGGGTTGTGTTCAACCGGGTATTGTTAGAGGAGCACCCTGCTTTGCGTTCAAAGTCGAAGGGACATGGGTTCCATTTCCTGGCCCCAAAAAGAATACATGGTGAAACGTGACTCTGACAATCGTGTTTGACAGACTATTAAGGTTGAACGATGGGGCAACAGCAGATGTGAAAGGGGGATATGCATTGGACATGTGGCGTGTTCTCGAGGCGCAGGGCGAGTTCAGGCTGAACGATTTTTTGTACGACAGTTTTGATTGCGGACAGGGATGGGTGATTGGCGGGAACGACGTAACAGGAAGTACGGCGTGCCACGAGAGCGATGCGAGGAGGGATCCTAGGTGGGGTTGGGCGCCATGTGTGATCCCGATTTCATGTGGCCGTGTGAGGATGATGATGCGTGATGCCATATGAAATGTCTGGAGCACGCATTATGTGAATGGCAACTTCTCCTTCAGGCACCTCGACAGGGAGGTCTCAGAAGACGAGAAGAAGGCAATGACATGTAGTACCCATACTGCTGGCTGTTTTTCCCGCCGCTTCAGAACCCTGTGGACTCGGAGGTGGTTGAACGAAAAGTTTTCACGAGTGAGGATGGCAGTACATACACGCATGCAAGAGGGCAGGAAGCCACGTATGATGGAGTATGCTCGCAGATATGGGACCATGTCACAATGAGGAGTGACGTTCTATCTGCCATGGACATTGGGGCCCGTGTCATCCCTGAAGGACAGTTGCAGCAGCATATGACCCCTGAAAAGTATAACTATCATGTCAATTGGGTCCCAGGATGTTTGCATCCTACAGTGGTTGATGGCAAGGTGACGATGGCAGCAAGACTACAATCAGGGCATTGGCTCCCATTGGGATGGATACATGCAGGCATTGTGGAGCATTGGCAGTTCCTCGTGGTTCTGGCACGTATCTCAATTTTCAATGTGAATGTAAAGGACCACGTCCTGGTGGTTGAACACGCAAAGCGGTGCTGGGAGAAGATAAGGGAGGAGGAGCGTTAGATGGTGTGCGCGGGTTATGACTCCATGGCTGACCAGGGGATGCGGTCCATGGTTGAGGGGAGTTGTACGGCCCAAGAGCACGGCGACGGTCAGAACAGATACATGACTCGCATTCGCCACAGGCACGGTTGCATGACCGTTTTTTGTTGGGTCCTGGTCGTATGTCCCATGACATATGAGCATGGTGGAGACGACACCATGAGATTCAGAGACCCGCTTGGTGTGCCTTTCCATTTGACCTACTTAGATGGACTCCTGCGAGACATTCAGTATCTGTCGGAGGATGGCTTGCCAGGTTCAGCGCAGGCAGGCAAGAGGACAGAGAAGCGCTCAGAAATTTCCCGTTTGTCTGCTGAGGTGGAGGGCCCATGTGGTCCTGGTCGCGTCAGGGGTGCTCTGTAGCACAGGGTGACATGGGCGGGCCGAGCGATGTCGCGATGTCGCAGAGCCCAGGGAAGAAGAAGAAGTGCACGTCGGGACCGCCACGTGGGCAGACACCCGCAGGCAGAAAGAAGGTGAACCTGAAGGCGGTGCCAGGGACCGGAGACACCGCAGGTGCACGAACTCAGGTCCCCAGACGCCGTCGACGCCCCGGGATAGCAACTTTGTCGGAAATCAGAAAGTTGCAATGATCCATCGACTTTTGCTTGACTTTCAGGTCGTTCTTGCGTCTCGTGCGCGAGGTTGTGGAGCGGGACATTGCTCCGGGTATGGGCGTGAGGTTTCAGATAACGGCAGTGCGTGCTTTGATGGAGGCTGCCGAGGCGTACCTGGTCGCCAATTTCGAGAACACCAACGAGGTGGCCATTCATTCGAAGAGGGTGACGATCTAGGTCAGGGACATGAGACTGGTGGATAGGTTGTCGAAGCCTCGATGGGTTGAGAAATATCAAGGTATGTTGGACGAGAAGGCGAGAGTTGAGGAGAGACGGGAACGGATGGACGCCAGACAGGCGGAAAGGGATGGCAGCAGAGCAGGGGCGAAGAAGAGGAAAGCAGTGCCACGTAAGGTGGGGTCCGCGAAAAAAAAGGCAGCTTGATAATTCTACTGTATGTGTTGCATAACGGTTGTCCTGCCGAATCGTGGACTCCGTGGAAGTCTTCGTGGTGTTAGGTGGGTTGAATAGGTGGAGAGAGAGAGAGAGAGAGAGAGAGAGAGAGAGAGAGAGAGAGAGAGAGAGAG